ATATATATAAAGATTATGGAAGCACAAGAATCATGAAATCTATTTATAATAAAGAAAAGATATATCAAAGTACAAAAAGGGGATAAACATTTGGTATAAGAAAACAAAAATAAATTTCTTGGGAAAAATATATTTTTGATGTCCAATTATTGATATTTTTTTCTATTTAATTGCCCAATCTTTAATTTTTTTTCTTTCTATTTGAGTGCCCATGACTACATGAGAGTATGAGGTGCCGACATACCAAGGTTGATCGCCACATGGCGGATCTCGATGGGCATGTTGGCAAAATCGGGATTCAAGTGAACTTAGGCACTAAAACAAATGAAAAATCGGAGCTTGGATAGTCAATCATGAGAAATCAATGGTTGGACAATAAAACATAAAAAATTAAAAGGCTGAACACCAAAAAAACCTTTTTCTCATTAGGTAACATAACTAAAGAGTAACATAAATATAAATCCACCTAATCAATCAATTAACTAGTTTTATTGTTTTTCTTTTCATTTTATTTTTTAATTTTTTGATGGGTGATAATGAGCAATATTGATTATATTTATTCTCTTATGTTTATTCTTTTGGATGTGATTTTAGGTTAAATGTGATGAATTGAGCTAGGAAAGAAATTTGGATCCTATGATAGTTCGAAATACCGCCTAGTGCTTGGATCATATTTGAAGTTATAGACATTGGATTAAGATGAATGAAAAACCAACATAAAAGAGACATTCGGGACTACAACTTTCGTGAAGAGTTTAAGTCTAAATTCGTAGCTTTCGATCCTAAATCAACTAGGAAGTTTCAGCATATAACTCAAAGTTATATTCAACAAGAAGTCCTAATTGATTTCAAAAACAAACTTAAATCGAACTTTGTTAGTTGTAATATTTGTCTTTTATATATATAATCTCTAGGATTGCACATTAGAGTCATGCTTTCTTTTACATATTTTAGAGTTTACTCTTCAATAATGCCTAGTTAGGTTTTCTTAATTCGATCTAAGGGATTTTAGCTTCAATTTGCAAAAGATTGTGAAGGACGAGTTTGATCTTTAAACTATTATTGATTATTAGAGTATCTTTTGTTTTTCTAATCTTAATTAACTAGTCTTCGAATTTAATTAATCATGATTGCATAGATAATTGTCTAAGATGATTAATTAGTCGATTGCCTATTGTAATTGATAGCTAACTTTCTTAATCCGTAGTTGTTAAAAAAAAAAAGTTAGGACAATTAGCAAATTAAGTTTGATTATCTAAGGAAAATAAAAAGATGAATTAAATGATCTGGGCATCCTTAAATTATTGTTCAGTCTTAGCTATCTTCCTAATTTGTTATGTTATTCTTGATTTGATTAGGATTGTTTTATACCGAAATCGATTAATAATAAGAATTTAATTCGAGCGTGGAGTTTTGAGTTAATAAATTTAAAGAAGATTTAGATTTATTCTAGCATATAGGTAAATTTAGGATAAGTATTCAATGAAAAAAATAATAATTTAGTTATCAATGATCAATTTACACATTAAATGTTTGAATTTTTCTTGAATTGAAGTTTTTCCGAAATTGAATTTACTTTATGTTCTAATTTCGGCTTTGCAAACAACAAATCTCTAAATTTTCAAAGATAATAGAATTGATTGATCAGTCTCTAGAGTTCAATCCAGACTTATTTTTAGTTTAAATTTTGATAAGAGCACTAATTTAAAATTAATGCATTTGGCATGCATTAATGAAAAATAAAAAATGTTGACAAATAGTAAAATTATAATTATTTAGGACACATAGAGACCAGTCGTACGAGAGATAATTGACATGTCAGTAATTCGTAACAAAAGTTTACGAAAATACTCAGATGGATCAAATTTTAAGAGTACAAACAAATACTCCAATAAAAAAATCATAAAGTACAAATATTTCATTAAATAAATGAAAAATATTAAAATAATATTTACTTAAGCCTACTTAACGGAGATGTGCCTTAACGCAGATTTAACTGGCACATCGCTATTTTCATTAAAAAAAAAACTGATGAAAATTTTTAATTAATCAAAATTCGTGAATACAAATATTTCAATAAAAAAAATCAGTACAAGTAGGAAAAAAAAATAGAGGCAGTGAAATGCCATTATCTGATTTTTATTTCTGTCTCGTATAAGTGAAAAAATGATTAAATTATACGAGAGCACCTTTAATTACTAGTCAAACTCATATTTACTCGTAAATTTTAAAAACTTTTATTTGACTACTATAAACTTTTTTTTATATATAAATAATAAGTTCTTTCAATAATTTTTTTAAGGCCGACTGCACGTGACAACTCGTGATAATCTGAAAAGTTGACTCGTTGCCAACTAAGGGGAGCATCCAATTTTCTGCTCCATTTTTTTTTTTTTTGGTCTAACTTCTGATTCTGTTTTCCTCTCTTTGGAGTATTTTCTTTCAAAAATCGAAAGAGCTTGACCCTTTGTTTGGACAGGGAGGAAAATGAAGGAGAGAAAAGAAAAGTTTTTTTTGTTTGTTTTGGGAAAGAAACCCGTGAAAAGAAAAAAATAATAATAATCAAATGGTGAATTGATGGGATCCATTTTCCTCTCAAAATTGGGAGGAAAATGAAAGAAAACGCAGCCCAAAAAATCAAGAATATATACATTTTCAGTTTTGCCCTCTCTCTCGTCCGTCCCTCTCAAAGCCCAGTTTTTTAATTACACCCAACTTCAAGGCTATCTCTACTAATTTTACACATTTTTTTTTCTTTAAAAAAAAAAACTCTTTACGTGGAGGAAGGAATAACTAATGATTAGTTTATTTGCTATACGTTTTTTTCTTTTTCATTAAATGTCTTGTATGTTATTTATCACAATAATAATGTTGATTGAGAAAAGTTCTATGATGTTATATAATGTTATTATGATTGTATTAAGTAAAAGTCATAAAAATTAAAATGCTAGATTTTAGATGTTACATGCTAATTTGTAAACGAAGAAATTAATTTTATGTTACATGTTAATTAATAAATAATTATTAATTATTTTATAAAAAGACGATTAATTATCCATTTTATCATTTCGGATAGATACTACATGCTAAATTTTTATTTTATTATCATTTACATAATTTTAATAAAAAAAATATTCATACAAATTTATTATAAATATTTAATTATAGAAATATAATCATAAAAATATTATAATAAATATATAATAATATTTTTTTATAATTATCTAAATAAAAAAAATATTTTTTTTTCATTCTCACTCTTGTTCAAACAACAAGTGAAAATTAATTTTTTCTCTCACTTTTCTCTCTTCTTTTCTTTCTTCTTACTTTCTTTATTCACCAGAGGAAATATCCAAAACACAGGGTTAGAGAGCGGGGAACTCTCACTTTTTTTTTTAATTTCCCATAAACCCTTCAGAGCCCATCTCTTCAATTATTTATCTAAATTCCTAGAAGAGTGGTCACTCCTCTCTATCAAACAATGGAGAAGGACCCCTGCTCAAACCTCAATCTATTAAATAAACAGGCAGTAGAAGAAGTCTCTAGAACTCCCCTAGCTGGCACCATCTTGGCCCTTTAAATTTGTCTCCAATCGAGTCGGTTGTATCAAGGTAGTACACTGGACTGCTGCAATTTGACTTTTGAAGGCGACAGTTGCGTGATCACAGATGGTGGAGTGAGCTCTGCTTGTTGCTCTGCAGAGAAGATGAAGCCAGAAACTACAGAGTTGTGTCTTTTGACTGTTTCATTTTCTTGTCTGGAGAGAGAGGGAATCCGCGTGAAAGAAGAAGATAGAAGGAGAAGCAAAAGAAAGGATGGAGTTTTAGGGATTTGATCATGCGACAATGTTTCTATCTTTTGTCAAGCTAGTGAAGATGACAGTTATCCAATCAAAGAGAGGTCGATCAAACCATAGAAGCCACTATCCCGGCAAGACTGCATCGGCTATGTGACAAAAACAAGGTGGTGACGGCAATTTGAGGTAGGAAGACGGCAATGATGGTGATGGGGAAGAGATACAGATGTGGTGACAGCAATCTGAGGTAGAGAGATGGCAATAATGGTGATGGGAGAGAGGTGTGTTTTGAAGGTATTTAAATCCTTGTATCATGTGACATGACATGCAGCCAACGGACGAGTTTTTAAAGGTTATAGGTAGATAAAAGTTTTGACGGATATTTATGTTGTTTTCACGTAATTTAGCCTTGAAAAAACTCAGCTCTCTCTCTTCAATTCCCACCTCTCTCTCGTTAAACCAATATCGTCGGATTTCCAACTCGCGTTGCCACCATCGCCGCTAAGCCTGCCGCCAAACAAAGCCCAGGTTGCGACAAGTCCATTGTCATCATTTCTGTGTTCAACCACCTCCCGACTCGGGTAAATTATATATGAATTTGATTTGAATTTTGAATCTATTGGGCTGATTTATTAATTCAATGGAGGATTGATGGCTAAACTGACCTTCGAATTTTGTGAAAAAGGCTTTGAAGCGGTTTTGGTGGCTGTTGAAAGATACAGGCAGATCGGCGATGAATCCAAGATTGCTGAAAATTTACAGCAGCAGAAGTTACGATATATCACCTATATTCTTCAGATCATTCAATTTAGCCACCGCATCACAAATTTTTTCGAGGAAAAATGGGTATTTCTGGATAAACAATGACCAAACTCTGGACAGCTCAGTAAGACATTTCGGGAGAGAGGCAGGGGGTTAATTCATTAACAGACGCAAGACCACACGGATTATTTAATTATTTCTCATTCTAGAGGGAAAATTCTATTTCCTAATAGACAGCACAGCAGAAATACTTACCCTTTGACTACCATCTTGCAATGGACCCTGAGTTAATACTCAAAAGCAATCATGGATGCTTCTGATCAATACTGATGTTCTACATCTGACATATGCACAGAAATCACATTACTGTTTTAAGGCTCAAAAAACATTTCAAGGGTGGAAAATCGAGAGACTGTTCTAAGCTTCCTACTGACCAAAATCTTTAAACCCAGTCAAAGTTTGTTTCTTTTGGCAAAACTAAACCAATCAGGCAGTTAGATGCATCGGGAGCAATTGAGAGCATGGAACAAGTATCTTGTGAATAGGGAAGGATAAAGAGAATCCTTGTCCATATGGATTTCACTGAAGGGATTTTAATTACTCCTGCACATTCCCTCTGCTTCAAGTATGATATGAAATCCTGAAACTGAAGAATTTAAAGTTTAGCACAATAGAGTATGACACAGTAGATGATAATCATGCACATCACAATTTCTTAGCAGAGACAGGACATGAGATAAATGAAGACACACTGACATGAGTGCAGAATCAACACACCACAGTCATCTTAGATTAAGACCTTATAACTCTTCTTATGGTAAAGTATAGCTTTAATTAGCACTGAATAAAAATTACACCTTCAGTAAATATATTGTCACCCAAAAAAAAAAAAAAAAAAAAAGGGAACAAGAAGAGAAGCTTTGTCTCAATGCAAAATCAGAGCGATAATAGATAAATTTTCAATTACCAAGATGAAACATAGAAGTGCACAATAAATATTAAAAAAAATATATTGTCACCCAAAAAAAAAAAAAAAAAAAGGGAACAAGAAGAGAAGCTTTGTCTCAATGCAAAATCGGAGCGATACTAGATAAATTTTCAATTACCAAGATGAAGCATAGAAGTGCACAATAAATATAAACAAGTGATATAACTTACACCCTTTTGGTCGCTCTCAGACAAGGGGATCAATCGGCATACTTCCCTCTGCATCAAACATTAAAACCCATTAAAATCACAGCACAGATGTAAAGGAGAATAATTATGATGGAAAGCATCAACTGGAGAACTGCAATACAAAAAGCAAGCTCGACTTTTACTAGAAGCCCTCTCCTTGTTTAATGAGCATTAGTCTATTGATATTTAATACTTTATCCATTAAACACAGCCAGAATAAAATCATTTCCATTCTTGTAAACTATAGCGTGCTTCAGAACATTGTGCGTGTGTAGAGCACCATTGGATAACCACATGTGGCTCAAAAGATATTTATTTATTTTGGTAATAATGGCTTACGCTTCCCAACATTTTCTAACTCGAACAGCCTTGAACTTGAAATCTCTTGACCTTGAGGTCTCTTAAGAAATTCTTAGAGCACCTAATAGAGCTCAGGTCATTTAGAGGTGAATGGTCTGTCAAACTAAAGGGGTGAATCAGTCCATATTGTCTGAGGATCAAAGTATGCTCAAATCCATCAATTTGCCCTGGAAAATCATGAGAATCTCAGGAACAGCAAAACTATCTTCAAAACAAAAAAAGTTCAAATGAACTCTATTTTGAGTGGCATTCATTCAGCACGTCAATCACAGGCCATTAATGCTGATAACTGCAGCAAGCTGTGACAAACTGAGTTATATCAAATGGCTAAGGAACAATGCAGGTTTTACAATATGAAAGAACCATGCTAAATCTCAGAAAAAACATAAATTAATAATTCAATCCATGCACGGAAATCAACATATGTTCAGCATAAAGATATTCACAGACTCACTTTGTGTGGTGGGGTAGTTGCAAACGTCGATTTTACATGCCGAAAAACAGTGCGCTTTGTCATATCTAGTTTAGCAGGCCATCTGTACCAGGAATAAGTCGGAAAGATTACTACAAATTCATCTTAATTTACAAAACGTAATCAGAATACAAAAAGTGCACTGAGAATTGAAGTTCTTACTCAGCAGGTTCAGACATGGCATTCAAATATTTGCAAATATCTGAATCCACTCTTTGCGCAAAAATTTTACAGTAATGAACCCCGCTTTTGCATAATGTGCCCTGCCACTGATATAACATAGAGTTTCCAGAACTTTCTGCATCAGTTGATTCTGCAACAGGTGGAGGTGGAGGGGGGAACTAGGTGGAGGAGGAGCAGGTGGTGGGGATGGAGGCAACGGAGGGGGTATTCCAGGCTGAGGTGGCACAGATGATAAAGTTGGGATTACAGCAGGTCTGGGAAACATTTGGTCAAAGTGCTGCACTGGAGCCCGCTGTACCTGTGCTAGTGGAGTCACAGAAGCAGGTATAAAAGGAGATGCAACAGCACTTCCTTGAAAACTATTTGGCATTGTTGCTGGTGAGATTGGATTCACTGTGGCATGATTTAAACCCCGTGGATCCCATGAACTGTTTGGGGGGAGGTACAAAGGATGCATAAATGGAGGTGGCTGGAACTGCTGTGGTGGCGGAATTGGTGGTCCGTGTGTTCCTAAAGGTGCACATGAAATGCTTACGGGTGGCTGGAGCAGCTCAATTTCATTGTTCTTGTACATCCACATTGGTTCAGCAGCAGCAGGAACAACATGACCACCTATAAGGAAATGTCAATATTTTGGTGAAGGCAGGAAAAAAGAAGAGTTGAAAGATTAAAAGAAGAAATATCACCTCCTTGCGAAGGATCCACCACCCCAAATGAATGTGAACCTTGTACTGGAGTCTCCTGATTCTCCGATTTTATTTGTGTGGATAAAAGCTCTGTGGAGACATCCTCAGGCTTGATTGAGAATGGCACAGCATTCTTTTCTGGCTGACTATTCAAATAAAAGGGAAATTTTCTCATAAGGTTCAAGTACACTTATGCTAAACAAAGATATGGTTATCTCGTGCAAGGACTAAAGTTGAAAGGATCTAAGACTTAAATAACACTATTAACTCAAACAATAAAACTTGATACATTTAAGAACCATGCGTTGCGTAGAACAAGACAGTTAACTACTTTGTGTAACGGACATTTTGTAAAAATTGGAATGGTCCACTGCGGGTGACATATGTGTTTTGAGAGGGATGACAGGAGGGTTGGAGGTAACAAGAATTCAGGCCATACAAACCATAACACTTCCAATCAAATCAACAACTTCCAGTCAAAGTCCTATGTTTTACAATGAATATTTTAGTTTGTACTTTGTATTTGAACTTAAAACACCCACATGCAGAATGAGTAATTCATCAACTTGTCGCCCTTTGCTGGCAATGGAAGATATCCTAAACATATTTCTCAAGCTTACATACTGAAGCAGTATGCAGTAAATGACAATTAAAAATAAGCATTCAATTATATTTTGTCAGAAAATTTTGGAGAATGTATGAAACTTAAACAAAATATTTGAGAATTCAAACCTGAACTCGATCTGAAAGAATGTCCCATGACAACCACGGATATTTTTCAAAACAGTGATTGCAGCATCAACATTGCTGCATTCAACAAACCAACCACACCCAATATGCATATTTGCTCTCGTCAACCTGACTATAGACCCTACATTGGCAATAGCAAGATTGCAAACAGCCATAAGCTCATCATCATTAAGGAACGGGGAGTTGACATTTGGAAGACAAATCAAAAGTGTGCTTGATGGCTCTCGATCAGCATCCCTCGAAGAAGGAGCCATGCTGCTTCCAGGCGCATAGAGGTCAAAATAATTTGGATTTTGATTAATATTATATTTTGTACGCAATGAAGCCAGCAAAGAAGATAAATTAGACATCCTTGTCCTAGAGCTGTCAGCAGGACTCTGAGCTACAGTTTGGGTACATGGCGATTCTGTTCTACTATTGCACATGCTAACCGAGTGATTGATTCTAACGTCAGCATGGATAGTTGCTGGTGCTGATCTTGCACCATCTAACTGAGGCATTACCACACTAGCTGATCCATCATTTAAAGCAGGCATATGGTGGAGTTGTCCTTTACGATGCAGCCTGAGATGTACCATCACAGCAGTAGCTTCTTCAGGAGTTTCAAACTCCATCACTACTGCTCCTTCATTGGTGAGATCAGTGACCATGCATGGCCCCTTGTAAATCACTTTCCTAGATTCATGCAGAATTTCATCCCTTGCCCATTGGCTTGAAATATGTCCAACATAAATGTAACAACTGGAACCAACTGCAACACCATTCATAGCGCCCCTAGCTCCCAGTCCTATATCCATAAACTTGATCCACCAAGGGAATTGACCACGCAAATAATCCCGAGCCCTAATGGCATCAAATATGCTCCTGTACTCAACCAAGGCAAATCCTTTGACTGGAAAGAAGAAAAATTGTTCTATAGGACCAAACCTCTCAAGCTCATATCTCATATGAGCTTCAGATGCATCCGAGCCTAAAGAACCCAACCAAAGCTGTCTAGAAGCAGAAAAAACATCCATTGCAGCAGGGTCCCCATCACAGAACCAAACAGTTTCAGTTATGGAACGATATGGTGCCACCAAATGATTATGAGGAGAAGCAAAAGAATTACTTATGCCTCCACTAGGAGATCTCAAGGCAGGTGAACTAAAATCCATATTTGAAGCTGGATTTTTGTCCACGTGGACATTAAAGTTTCTACCATCAAATGAGTTGCTCCTGAAGTCTAATGGAGTTCTTGTAGAAGGTGAAAGCACTGATTGGTTAAATAGATCCCTAGGCACGGAAGACCTGCCATGTGAAGAGTCTCCAAGGTGATTTATCTCAAAATCCATGGACCTTGAACCTCCTTTATGATGACCAGTACCTGCATGCAAGGCATAAATCAGTGGCAGGGGAAATACTGGGCTGCATTCTTTAAGATATTGACCAGAAAACCCATCATTAAGGGATCAATCATGAGCACTTAACGTACCAGCTGGTTCACCAGGGACTTCATGTTCATTAGACATCCTAGGGACCAGGTATTGTCGATTTACAAATTTTGATGGATCAGAATCATCCCCGTCACTGTCAATTTGACTGTCATCTAGTTTATTGAATTCTGCAAATGACTTACAGATTCCTTCTAGAGCAGATCTAATGTCTGATGCAGCTATAAAAGATGGGATGTTGCATAACTTCTTGTACTTTGAGAACATCCAACTTCTCAAAGATGCATTATTTCCAAGAACCTACATGAAAGAAGCCCCAGTACAAAAAATTGACAATAAGAAGCACTAAGATTGATTTCAGCATACTCATGTCAAGACTTAAGCAAGGAGATGAATACCTTAGCCAATGATATTTCAATTAGTCATCTTCAACTAGCGGGAAATAACTTCTCTAAGTTTTACAACCAACAAACCATGATCTATATGTACTTGAGAATGATTAAAATTGCTCAAAGGAGAAACTTGTGCAATATATCACAAACATTATACAAAGCATATCATAGTGTTATTAACAAAAAGAAAACCCAGTTGCTACTGAGTTTGGATCATAACTGAACAGAAAAATGCATATCATATTTTCTAGAATTAACGCACAGCATATGACAATCCTTTCTCATCAAAGAAGTAGAAATTAAGAGTATTACCAGTCTCAACAAGCAGTTCTTTGGTATTGATGAATCCTCTGAAACAAGGTTGCCATCTGTAGGCAACTCGCCCCTAACATCATAGCTTTTGGCACTTGATCCAACAGATCCTTCACGAGAGGTAGTTCCATCACTTGCATTAGACAGAGGCAAAACATCATCAGCTATACTGCTGGTCACCTGACTAAGAAAATACTGTCCTTCTTGAACTCTTTCGGGAACAGTTGATTTAAAGAGATCAAAACAGGCAGCAAGCAGATCTTTCGGGCAAGAAAAGAAAATCCAGAGCATACTCAAGGTACGCAACTTGGTCAATTTAACCAATGAAATTCCATCATCATCATAAAGCTTTTGCTTCAGCTCAGAAAAGAGCTTGAGATCATCTTGCATCTTCAAAGTTTCCATATCAACAATCTGAAAGATATCTTTTCCCTCAAATGATGACACAAAGAATGAGAACACATTCTGAAAAACCGCAGAGCAAATGCCTCGAATAACAGCTGATGTCGGAGCTTCAAAAGAAGCAGTTCGACAGATATCAGCTAAACCAAAAATACACGCTTTAGCAGTCTCAATTGCAACACCATCAGAATCCTCTCCTCTATTTATCACTGCCAAGCTCCAGCTATGCATATTGATTAAAACTTTAGCTGCTGCTTCAAGAGCAGTCGGACAGTGTGACGCGTATCGAGGAATAAGATCAGCCATAATTCGTTGCCCACTAGCACAACCTGCAATGCTAGCATCATATATATTTTTTAGGTTTTTAAGCAAAAAAAATTAGAGCGGTAGTGATGCATTTAACTTCCAAAATGAAACACTAAGCACTAATTCCACTAATAAGAATATGATTTCAAGTGATTAATTCAAAATTGCTAACCTCTTGAAGCAGTAATGAGTGAGAGATAAGCTTGTTCGAGTTCAGGCATGTGACGCGCTTCCTTTTGGGAAACACAAAACTTGAGACGCTTGTAAATATCATAGACGCTCTTAATCTCATCTCTGTTTCTCCGTCTCGCGATAATTTCTTCTTGAGAAAGTGGCGGCGGTGTTGGTGGTGCTAACGTGCTTGGTGTCTTGTCTAGAGTTTTTGGAGGCGGTTCTTCTAGTTGTTTCTCGTAGAGCTTTCGCTTCTTGAGGGGTTGCTCAGCAGCGGCCATGGCCGAGCGGAACCGAGAGAGATGGCGCGGGCGCAATTTCTGTGGTTTCGGGGGTTCGATTAGGGAATGGAGGGCAGCCGTAGGATGAAATTACTCATGTAGCCCTGATGGCTGTTCGTAGAAACTAGAAAATTCTGATTGTATTATTTGGGCTCTTACTTTTTCGTGGGCCGCGTTTTTGGATTTCTTTCTCTGTGTTTTTTTCCTTTCTTCCTACTAAAGATGGGCTATGGAAAGATACCATTCAAAACACAAGTTGAACGTTGAGTTTTCTACCTTCACACACATTTGATGAAAGTCTTTCACCTTTCTTTTTTTTGGGCTGCAAAAAGGGTCAAAATGAGAGTGAATTATAAATTGGTCCCTCTCGTTTTTTAAAAACGAAATAATTAGTCATTTTTTAAAAAAATTAGTCATTTACTCTCCTACTATTAAGTTCTAATCAAATATGTCAAATTAATACATAATACTTCAAATACTCTTCCACTCGTCAAAAATTCCTTTTTATTGCAACATAAAGGTCATGCACAGTCAAATAATACTTTAGCTCTACTACAATCAAGTCCTTTAACTGCAAAACATAGCCCTATGACAAAAAAGAATCATTTTATTTTTTAGTAACTTATAATGATTTTTTTTATTCGTTTGTAGTATGAAGATATTATAAATAATGTTAATAAACTAAATGCAATTAATTTATACAAATCAATTTTATTTAAGTCTAGGTGTGGTTGACATATCTGCACAACTTTGAAAATGTAAATTTTTTTTAAAGTGTTTTTAGACTCTTCATTTTTAATTATGGAGATGGTTGAGGAGAAAAAAGAGAGAGATAATTGAAGAAAGAGAAATGAAGTTGATGAACAAAAGAAATAAGACATAAAAAAAAATTAGTTTGTAGAAAAAATCGATGAAAAAATTAATTTATTGACGGAATTAAAAAGTAAAAAATTAAATGATTAATTTTTAAAATCGAGAGGGAAAAAAGAGAAAAAAAAATACACCATCTAAAATTGCCTGCACCTATCGAGTTTTATACAAATTTTACATAATACAAATTAGGGAACATTGAATATAACAAAGGCAATCTCCATCTCGACCCCTTTATTAGGTAGAACATCTACAAATATATTAGCTTCCCTGTAATTATGAAAAAATGTACACCCATCTTTTGTCTCAAAACCCGCAGATGTGCATGTAAGCAATGGGGTGAGAACCGTTCTCATTTTGCAAGTGAGAAATCTCTCGACCAATTGGGAATCAATTTCAAGAATGATGCATCTCGTTCCGGTATTCCACAGAGCAAGCTTAATAGCCTACAACTCTGCTTTTATGGCTTTAGGTAGTCCTAAATCAATGGCAAAACCAACATAAAAAAGGTTGATCAAACCACCTGCACAATTACACGCATTTGAGAGGACTTTTTCAACCATATTACGTTTACAACAAAACCAAAGTTCATGATACTCTTACAGATGGGGTTAACAAGTCGTGGTGATAACATTCCTTTAAAAAAATGCACAATAAAATTCGAATTTAAAATGTCAAACTGAACAAAGTTTTCTTCTGTCACATGAATCAATTTCTTGAAGACATTCTGAAATTTAGTGTACGTATGATTTCATAGTAAATTACATATATTACTTGAGCTATGTAATCAATGAATCATTTTGTGTTCTAAAAAATAATTCGACATGATAAATTGCTATTGCTATCTCACTATCACTCATTTTAGGCGCAAATTTCTGAAAACGCCATTTTATTTCCTGCGTTTTTTTTTTTTAGACTAAAAGGATCTTAGTTGGAGTTTTCTCGGTCCTTTTTTGAAAAAATCTTTTTAGTCCTTATGTTAAAAACTTTTCTACAATTAGGTCTCTACAAGGTGTAAGAAGTTCAATTCAATATTATTATTACTAGCCATTTTTTTAATATAAAGTTTGTTATCCTCTGTATTGCAATTTAAATTACAAAAAGAAAAAAAAAGAAAAAAAAAAGAAATGCATGAATCATATATTGCAAGACCCATTGTACCAAACATATCCTTAAAGTTTTAAGAAATTACAAATATTTTTCAAAAATTTTAAAATTAATCTTTTGGCTAAAATCTCCTGGTATCCTAGATTTCCAACAGACAACTAAATTGAACAGTGATCTCTAGTCTTGAGTAGCAATAGAAATAGGACTGATACGAACTGGGTATATGTTCTATAATAAATACCTATTAAAAATGTTTAATAAATATTGAAGAGGGTAATGATAAAAAAAAGTCAGCTAACATCATTTTCATATATGAATGTTCATTTTATACCTTACTAACATTTGTTATTTTGTTTGAAAAAAAGATTAACTTATAGAGACTTGGTTACATAAACTTTATAGAGAAGGGAGCAAATGTTTTTTTATGGAAACTTTGAGAACAAAAAAACTTATAAATAAATATTCAAATTGTAAAACAATTAAATCTGAGTATCAAAACAACTTTTTTGAAAATTTCAAAAAACAAGATGAAATATTTTTATAAATTATTTATTTAACGGATATTAAATAAGTGTTAAATGGACTATTAAACCGACTATAACAAGAATATGATTTTAAAAGATAATTTTCTAAGGGTTATGGACATGATGTCCACTCTGCTTTTTAGTTTTGTTAACTATAATAGCAACACAAGTGAATGCTCAAGAAGAAGAAAGAAAGAAAGAAAGAAAGAAAATGCGGATCCACATCCCCTTACAGACCTTACTAACTAGACCAGTGGATGATTAAGTAATGAAATAACTTTATCCGACTTGAAAAACAAATATAGGGGAATGTTTAACTAAAAACAATGTATATATATATATATATATATATAGAACTAATTAAGCAAGTATAAGTGTCATTTGAGTTTTCGTTTTTTAATTTTTGAAAACATACACTGAAAATTTGTTTCTTTTTTTTATTATTGAAAAATATCAAAGAATCATCTAAAAAAAACTTAAATTTTTAGGTGAGACTCTATGCATGATTTATATTACTTTCTAATACACATCGTTAAGTGAAGACTCTTTAGACTTGAAATTTGCAGAAGCTCATCACCATCTTATACTTAATTTTTTTTAATTAGAAAAGAAAGTGGGGTTGTGATATTCGAAATCATAACTATTTAGTCATCAAGACTATAATACCATATCAAAGAATCATTTCAATCCCAAAACTTAAGTTTTTAAGTGAGGCTTGAGAAATTATTTTTATATTACTTTTAACATATTCTATTGTTAGAACTTGTTAGAAACATGTCGTACATTGAATAGTTAAATAAAAAAATAATCAATATACAAAGTTGAGAAATTGCTACCTACCATAAAGTTTAAGTGTTTTTGGGATAAAACTCAATCTCAACTATTTAACTTTATATAGTATGATAGCTTCAAAAAGGCCTAAAGTTCAACAAAAATCCTAAAGACCAAACCACTTAACAAATTCTAAAAGATGAACTGAAAGTGAGGAGAGTGTTAGATTTATGTTCATCCATATATTTTCATTGTGCGGTGGCATCATTATAATTTCCAAACTATCTTTATGATTTGATAAACAAGGTTTTTTTTTATCAAATATTAAACTTCGATTTTTTATATTTTTAAAAATTTTATTTCAATTTTCAACTTCATTGAATCGCAATTTAGTCAAAGAATGCAAAAAGAAAATAGAGAAAAAGGAGGAGAGAGAAAACTATAGATAAGCCATTCTAGCTATTTTAATAGTCGATATTGTCTTTAATTCGTTTATATTCGAGAAAAGAGTTTGTTTATGGTGGTTTCAAGTTATAAAATGATTGAATGAGATAGATTGAGATCCTAAAATATTTTGAGTTTTTAAATTCGATTTTTTTTTCTATTTGCATTAAAATGCATTTTAAGGTTTTAAATGAGTTTCGTTTTTAACCTTATTTAAGTGATTTTAAGGTGTTTTGAGGCAAAAATAACTCTAGAATTGGGTTCTAAAAACCTCAAACTGAAAATCTCAATTTTTCAAAGAAATTTTCTAGTAAACTTGAGTTCGTTAGAAATTGCAATTGACGATGCATCATTTGTTATGCTCGGTAAGAGCTACTTGTTTTTTTCTTTTAAAAGTGGCTAGCAACGAAGGAATACATATACATTGAGATTTTAAAATGAACATATATTTTAGATTATATTATTTTTATTGTTTAAAATTGATTTCTTCATTGTGTCATTTTTATAGAAATTTCAACCAATTAATTTTAGTTTTCATTTTATATAATTTATTAGTTAATAAATATGATTTATTTTTATCTATGTATGAATTTTGAAATCAATCAATTTTTTCAAATAAAATAATTGAAATAATATTTTAGAAAAACCACCTAATGATTTCAATAAAAATTTTATGCTAATATTATTGACTATTTTTAATAAAATATATAAATTAAATGTACATATTTTTTTAAAAATAATTTTCTAGTTTGCATTAAATAAGAATAAAAAAATTATTTTTTCACTACAATCTTATGAGAAAATATCAAGTCGTTTTTTAATTTGGATTATATTTCCTATTTAGATTATTACAAGTTTTTATTTAAGAATCAATGAATAAAGAAAAAAGCAAATTATGTTTTTTTCAAGTAGAAAATTTATGAAAAATAATAGAAATAATTAATTAAATATAAAATTTTGATTAAAAAAATTATAAAATCGGATGATTTGTTTTCTCTCGATATATTTTAGTAAACTCATAATGTGCATTAGCAAACTAAAATGATTTTTTCAAATAATTTTACCTATTTTGTCCAATCGGCAAAGTAACATGGGCAACAAACTACTAATGAAGCATGTAAATTAATTTACCTTGATAGAAATTTGATGCAATCCATTTGACGAACCACATTGCTTGTCGTTACCCGACGTCGAACGGGACTCCTAAAATTAAAATGCTAAATATGATTAATATTTACAAGTTTATTTACAGAGCTTTGGAGTTGCCACCTAGTATTAAGAAAC